CCCCAAAACCCCAAAACCCCAAAACCCCAAAACCCCAAAACCCCATAGGTTGAGGTAACAGTTGAAATAAGAATTTGGGGCTGAGAAATAATTATATAAATATTTTGAGTAACCAAAGATTTGATAACAGTAATGCTTGTGATCTTTTGACTAACTAATTGCTAACATTTCTGAGATTGTGTTATTATAATCTACTTTTGGCTGAAATTAAAGCTTTTAATGTCTTCAGGCATGGAACAAGAACAAAGCTTGTTCTTTTAGTAGTATTATTTTCATGTCATTTGGTGCTAATTCAAAAAGCTAAAAATATTCTTCTAAATCCCCACCCTTTCACAATATCTGCCTCAAAATTGCTCTCTCACCTCCTTCTTCCTTCAACATTTCCAATAACATCCAAATTCACTTACCCGAGTCAAAACCCATCTTCCCAAAAATGGTCATGAACATCCCAAAGCCCCCACCCAATAGTAAATTTGTATACAGAATGCCACCTAAAACCTCTCAAAATTAGTGATTCACTAATTTATTCCCTTTAAAGGCTCATAAACGTTTGTTTTTACACTAATTTAACTTATTTCTTCTCTGAAAGGCATTTGCCTCCCAAAGATAAGAAAGAGGGGTAGTTTTAGCAATCTCTCGCTAAATCATCAATCCATTCTAATAATACCACAGTGAAGCTGGAGTTGAAGAAGTTTACCAATATTCTGATCCTCCAGCCAACATAGAAGCCTCTAATTCCTCTCTTGGCATAGATTCCCTTTACTGCGTTCTTAATGGTGAACTGGTTCTCGTTGCATTTTACTCTATGGCCATCCTTTACTTCAATGTTGTGCTTTTGAAGAAAAGTTTTTATGTTATCAAACGGCATGATAGAGAAAACAGTGGTCAAGCTTGTCATTAGCCCGCATGCAGCAAGCTTCCATCCAGTTATCATCCTTCTCTCATGGATATTGAACATGCTTCTCATTCTGTTTTTGTAGAATTGATCCGCTTGAAGAAATACAGTCCAAGAAACACATTGTTTTAGTATATATGGACTGTACCCTTTAAAAATTTCTTTCCTTGCTCTACTTTTTATCATAGTAAAGAAATCCTTGTAGTTACTATCAGAGAACTTCGAAGTCATTAGAAAGACTTGTAAACGCTCAATAGGAGTGATAAGAGTTGCCTCTGTAAATGCAATTGTCAGAGAAGTCAAGAGCCTCATAATGTATTTATTATCTTCATACTTACTACCAAACATTCCAGCGTAGAACCTTGGAAGTCCGGATAGTAAGGGATACCGATAGCTTGATTTGAATATTTGCTTTGTAAGATTAGCTGAGAGTCCATAATAGAACCCTTTCATTCCTCCTCTTTCAGTATAAATATATTTGACAACTTCAAATTCATTTTTCAGGTTATTATTGATCTGATAATTTACCTTTAAGGTATCCATTGGGTGTTGTAGGGGAGTAGCAAGTAAAGATCTCAACATGCCTGCACAGGAGCTGAAGATTGCAAGGTTTGTAGGGCTACTATGTATAAACCTTCTAATTCCTGAGGTATCTACTTCTGCCATTAGACCTTCCAACTATTTATTTTTAATCAATCAGAATTCAATTTATCTCACTCCTTGCGGGGTTTTGGGGTTTTGGGGTTTTGGGGTTTTGGGGTTTTGGGG